ATCATCTGACGAATTCATCTAGATATCGAGTAATAAAATCCCCCCCCCCCTCTCTCTCCAACCATCCTGCCCTACACTCACCATCGCCACCGCCACCCCCGCCCTCTACGAATGAGGCCCTCCACACGAATACCACGCGCTGGCACTCGCACAAGACGCGATCTTATCTGCTCGACATTTTTTACGTATAAGCGTAAGCGGCTGCGTTGCTCGGTTGCGTGCGTCCGCGAGAGACGGGGCAGAGGTACGACCTAGACGGCCTATACTTCTCCCGATGGCGCCAATGCCCGCATCTTTTTATCCTGTTTCTGCATCAGGCCCCGGGACTATGGTCGCGCGCGCGACCCGCCGTCATATATTCCCCGAGATTTTGACTATCGATCAACCGGCCGACCGCGCGACTCCAGCTCGTGCGCTCGCGGACTCCTCTCCGAGCCCCACGCAAATCTGAGGACTACAGGACGAGGAAGAAGTCATAATTAAATTTTAATCATCGCCGATGATAAAGCCCCTGATTTATACGAGTTATGGCTTCCCTGCGATTGACGCACAAAATTGTGCCGCCACCGCCCTCGGTCGGGAGCACGATATATTCCCCTCCATGTCGCCTTCCACTCGCTCCTTTGCCTACATGAATTTTCCAATTGTAATAATAATAATAATAATAATAACAACAATGGGTTAGCCTATTATAGAGATTAGATTGCATAGGAAATACCGAGACTGACTACCTATATAATATCCCCTGAAAATTACACAACTCTATTAATAATAAGTCAAGCCTCTCAATGAGACGATAATAATCTCACATTCTACGCTATCTTTGGTTTATTTATGGGCAAAGCTTAATATGGTGATTTCTACGAGTTTTATGCCCGATCGCGTGCTCAATAAGAATTTCGAATAAAAGAGTTTTGTACGAGGATCGGGACTAATATGATTCATTCCTTCGAATCGAGCGCACTTCAAGTTGGGCAAATATCACAGCTCGAAACGCCGATTTTAATCAGACATCACGGTGCGACGGACAGACCTTAGGACTTTAAAATCACAATAAAGCAGTCGCCTCGTCTTATGCTGGGCGTCTCCTTTATTATTTATTGCCAGCGCAACGCTTGACGTAATTCCCTCATCTGGCGCATGCGCTTACCGTCGAAAAAGCAAAAACACCGAGTGACCTCGTCACCGAGACCGCGAGTTATACACTCCCACCCCATGGTAGACGAAGAGAGATAGATAAGGAGACAGAGAGGGAGAGAGAGAGAGAGAGAGAGAGAGAGAGAGAGCAGAGAGCGCAGAGAGAGCAGAGAGAGCAGAGAGAGCAGAGAGAAAAAAAGTAAGGATAGCCGAGGCGCCGAATGCCAGGGAGCATTTTATTATCTCGTTCGTTCATAAATTTCGATGAGAGAATAAAATAAGCCGAGCGCGATCCCGTAACGGTCCTAAACAAGTCCCCAACGTTATTCCTCTCTGCTCTGCTCTGCTCTGCTCTGCTCTGCTCTGCTCTGCTCTGCTCTGCTCTGCTCTCTGCTCTCTCTCTCTCTCTAGCGCGCGCGCACAAACGAACGCACGCACGCACGCACGCGCACAAACGTATGGTTTTGGTTCTTTCATTGGTTCAACATGGACATAAAAGCAAAACTATAATAATATTGTTGATAAAATCTTTATTCGAGTCGATGCTGGCTTTTTTGGACATAATTCGTCCGAAACATTGAGAGTGTACGTTTGCGTATTTAAAATTTTTCGCTAAATAACATAATCAAATTGGTTTTTTTTTTTTTTTATTCTTATTCCGATGCGTTTTAAAGCATCATCAACATGTATATTACAAATATTTTGGAATACTCGGGATGACATTCTCTGGGACGAAGGTTATTACAATAATAATCTGGATGATCGCAGACTCGATTTGAGGACAAAACGGGGGTAGCAATAATAACTACATTATAGCTCGTCGCCTATACGATAAAATTATATGCCTTCGATTTTCTTTTCAATAATCACTAATATTTACAATTATTATCACACTGTCATAGTCGCAATACATTATACAGAATTAATATTATACACCGAACACAGTTCGCTCTTTAATAAACGTTTCTAACCTAATACAATCTCACTTCCTTTCAAATACACTTGCGCTCGCTGCTCTCACCTATATAACTTACACGATCATGAATTTATGCATTATTTACACTTTTCACATTTTTTTTTTTTTTGGAAAATACTCTCGTCTATTGTTTCATAGCAGAATAATTATAATATTGGCGCGCCTTTCTAATATCTCATCAATAAACATAAAATGCAAAGGTTTTTCGCTTGCTTACGCATCAAAGTATCACTTATTTATCCAATATTTGTGCAGTTGCAATGAACTACATTCCTTTCCGGTATTTTAATTGGCGCTATTAACTAAGTAAACGCTCATACTATGCGCACATACACACAGTCTGAAATTTCATTTCATTTAAGAATTATCAGAGTTTATTAGATTTGAACTCGTCATAACGTTACATTACATTACGTGAATTCAGTATTGTGCAATTATCTCATTATTCCATCGTGTCATTTGCAAGCTTAATGCATCCTCAGTTTACTTATTTCTCAATAATATAAAGGCTATACATAACTTTAAAGATATTGTTTGTAATATGTACCGTTTGCACAATTTTTAGATGCGTTTCATAATTTTATGATTTGTAATATAAATTTTAAAATATTAATGACATATTAGACTTTAATTCAGTATATTAATTGCGAGTATTTGCATTATTTCTCTATTGTTATAAAATTACTATTTTCTCAAATTCAACGAATTTGAATAAATTTTCAGAATTTATATTTGTAAATAAATTTCGAAATCAATGAAATATCAAGATTCGTACTGATTCGCTGGCGATTCATTCTATTAGTTTATAGTTTAATTTTATATATTTCGATGTAGAAATTCGAGCTTCAAACGAGATTTCTTGAATATTTCAAAATTAGCTAAGGCTACTATGGTATAGCGATTTAGTTCGACAAATACGAATCTTAAGAGTATTAATACTAGCAGTGAATTTGCATTAAATTTCAAATAAATAGAACTTGAAACATTTTCACAATTCTATTATGCGTATGGTTATTTTAGTAAATTTTTATATATTAACAATGTAAAAAATAACGCACGCGCGCACACGCACACACACGCACGCACGCACACGCACGCACGCACACAAACACACACACACACACACACACACATATATTTTTTTCTTCTTCTGTTAAAGAGTGTAAATTTTAATTATTAATTAGTAAATTAGTAAAAGAAGTTTTTGTGTGAAATTTCAAATTATTACCGACCGATTAATTGTCAAATGATACGGGTATGAATTACACGGAAAATGAAAGTCACTCAGCCGATTAAAAATGTCACGCAAATTACTCATGAATTAAATTGGCCCCTCCAATTCGACATTTGTGATTTCGCGCTAATTACAAATAAAATACAGTTAAATTCAATGACAAACAGGGCTATGTAAGAGCGAAACTTTTGAACACGAGATCACTAGAATTTTTTATAATTATTAACATTAGACAGTTTGTTCACATTTATGAAAAGTCGACTTATCAGCACAATGAAACATTCAAAGCCTTACAATTTAAGTAATAGTGCATTAATGGAAATATTAAAAAAAAAAAAAAAAAAAAAAAAACCATAAAATATCTAAAATTGCCACAACGTTTTGGGTTAAAATATTTAATTCACAAATAGAACGCGACATTTATGTACAATTCAAAAGTAAGCAATAATTTTAAGTAATCTGAAGGTAATTAGAAGGAAATAAAGAGGAGAAATAAGAAATAAATAAAGTGAAATGCAGCTGATTAGTGTACATAGATAGATGAACCAACTCATTTCAAATACATACACAACGATTGTTATTCGAAAGACTTGCCCAGTGTTGTGTATATGGACGAGGCACATGTGTGTTTCAGTGAATCTGTGTATTCGTCACTCTTATTCTTCAAAGTACATACTACATGCGTTGCACTTATGCGTGTATATTATATTCTCGTTTGTAGGAACACGGTGGCGCAAATCCCGATGGGCGTTCAATAGCCGCTCGGAAGCGCCGTTAAATGCTCGAGTCACGAGTCACGTGACATCATACTCTTATTTACAATAACTTTTCCATATCCGTTGGTAAATTCTAAAGCATTTAAATGTTTGCGTGAGTCTTTGGACGTGCATGCAGCATATAGGGTTTAAGAGTTAAGTAGTAGGCCCTCCGCAAGCCCAAAATCCTTCATAGAGCGTTCGATTTCTTTGGATTTTACAGGATAAAAGTAGTGTCACAGGTCCGAAGTCCGAATCGTAGCTCGGGATCCTCGCATTATTCGATAAATTAAAAAGAAATTTTCTGCAAATATTGTTCTATAAAAGGTTCTATGTTATTGGCGATGTTTTGCGCATTACAGCGTTGGCCTAACACTGATAGAAAGGCGACTATATCAATTTTAACCAATCGATTCTTCAACTAATAATTATCGATTTATAATCGAAACAATCGATAGGTGACAATGGTCGATATGCTATCAGAGAAAAAAAAAAAAAACGCGTCAATTTTACCGCCTCTTATGATTCCTATTATATTCAGCATCCCGTAAGCGCACGCTTATTGCGATGCAATAGTCGTAGGACGAATAAAGTTTATTATATCGTCCATTAACGGCTTATATTATCTTATTTAAGCGACGATGAAGGACTAGGACGGCTGGTGTACGTAAATTAGTTGAACCGTGGGTGCTCCGTCTTTGATTGAATGAACGTATAGTCAGTGGAAGGTGGTCGAAACTTGGTCGTGGAGGTATAGGTCGCGGCAATTTTACGACTCTAGTCAGTAGGGAAATAATAGAGAGCCGGACATTGGTGGTGGAGGAATGGGGAAGCGTCTATAGTGGGGGGGGGGGAGTCCCGAGGACGCGACGAGATTAGCTCGATTGGTGGGGAGGGCTTGCGGGGCTGCGCGGTTCCCATCCTCCGGAGATCGTACGTGCGGCTTTGGCAGTGACGAGTGAAGCGAGTTAGTTGATCCTAGACTCCGCGGATTCAGTATGCCGTGGCCTGGTGGTGCATGAGCGGGTTGAAGTGGTGGCCGAGATGATGAGTTGGTGGCGGCCCGTGGTGGGGTAGGGGGCTGTGCTGGGGCGCCATTGCCGTCGGTTGGCAGACGTACCAGTCGCCGAGGTGGTGGTGGCTCGTCGGGCCGAGGCTCGAGGCGTGCTGGAGCTGGACGAGGCCGCCGTTGACGGCGTTGTTAGCCGGGGGCGGGCCGCTCGCGACCGAGCTCGCGGCCGTCGAAGTCGCCACGGGCTGCGAGGGTTGGGGCGATTCCGTGTGCCCGGTCACCGAGAGGCTGCCGCCGCTGCTGCTGCTCTCTTCGCCCTCGCTCTCGTAGCCGCCGCCGAGCTTGCCGTCGCTCAGCGTTACACCGTGGACCTGGTGGAAGAGGAGCACACGACGAGGTCGATTAATATTTACAGAACCAATGATGGAACTCGGGGACAATTTACTTGATCACCATTTTCACGAGCTATTCAAGCCAGCGTGAAAAGGCAGACTGCGCTCGTTGCATTACGCACACAAACACGCACGTACGCACATATGATCGAACGCACCAAGGTTCTTCAAGGGCAAACGATAATATAAAATTATCCTATACATCATGGAAAGTTTTATATTTTGCCGAACGCAATTCTTTATCAATCAATTCATATTATATACGACGCATTATGCGCGCGCATGCGTATGTATAAAATATAAAATGTCAATAATTTGTCGCTTATTGTTAGTTTCGGATATTTTTTTATTTAATGCTTGTCAATGTGAAATATTATTTTACTTATAATTATTTCCGTCCTGAGCAATTCACTTATTATGCAATGCTATTATATATAAATGCTATCTTATGCAATTGGATAATAGGTATTTAGATTATATACTTGTCGTCGATATGCACATTTCGTGTGATTATAACATAAATTATCATGAAAATGTTGAATAAATATTTTTATGTTTTATCTCAGTATTCTTTAAAACGTCAGGTAAACAACAAATTAATTAAATTTATAAATAGGTGCATAAGTTAATAGACGATGAAGCTAATAAAAATTATAAATTAAGTATGAATCGTGCGCCATGTAAAAAAAAAAATAAAAAAGAGAGAGAGAGAGAGAGAGAGAGAGAGAGAGAGAGAAGGAAAAAGATAGAAAGAAAGACGGCGCAAAACCAAACACAAAACAAATTAATAATCCAACGCAATAAATCACTAAAAGTGAATAATAAGAAGAAACAAGCATAAAATGAAACTCCGTGGAGCGTGTAATAATTTATTTTCATGGAGTGCAATGATAATAGCAATAAATAGGAAATATAGGCATAATAATATGAACGTTAATATTAATAATAAGGATGATGACGACGACGATGGAGGCGAAGATAAGCACGTGGATGAGGAGGATGAGAATGGTGATTAGGATTAGGATTAGGATGATGATGACGATGATGGTAATGACGATGATAATGGGAGACGGTGACGTTGATGTTGATGATAAAGAGGATCGGGATAAGAAAAAAGATGATGCTAAAGATAATGGTCGGATAGAGGTATAAGGCGAATGAAAATTGGCGTGTTGTAGAAGTGGGGATGGGGGAGGCGAGGGATCGGTCGGGAGTGAGGACCGAGTAATTCTCATTAGGATGCCACTCGGAAGTGTCTCGACGCGGACGTGGTTACGCGGTTGGCGTGCTTCGTCCTAGATAATTACCTTCATGTGTTTGCGCAGTGAGCTCGGGTGGGTGTAGGACTTGTCGCAGCCGGATACCCGACAGTTGTACGGCTTGTCGGACGTGTGGACGTGGCTGTGCTTCTTGCGATCGCTGCTGTTGGCGAACCGCCTGTCGCACGTCGGGAACTCGCACTTGAACGGCTTTTCACCTGGAATTGTACAAGCAGAGGAGTGCCTTTGTCAGTATAAATGCGTGGCGGATGACGGGCGCGAGGAGCTGACGCGCAATTTAACGCTAGAGTCGGTCTACTTTCGTCGCGATCCTCGCCGACGGTCCATCATCTTTTGATGACGCAGGAATAATTCCGTTGTAATTAAGTAGAGGCGAGTGGGTGGGCGGATTGATGGGGTACGGAATGAAAAGGGGGGGGGGGGTAGACGCCTCCGACCCTTTTGTAAGTCCGCCTGCTCTGGGTTGTATATATAACGCCGACTTGGCTGAAGAAGCACCGGGATTTTTCTTTCTATTTTATTTTGCTCTGCCGAGTGGCCACGAATAAGCGTGTAAGGAGAGAGAGAGAGAGATAGAGAGACAGAGAGAGAGATAGAGAGACAGAGAGAGAGAGAGAGAGAGAGAGAGAGTGAGTAGGTGTGAGAAAGTGGGGAAGAGGGAGGGTAAGATTGCGGTGGTGTGACTTTATTTATTTCTATCGGAACAAGTCGGAATATATTTTAACGGTGCGACCCCTACGAGCTCTTCCCGGGGCATGTATAGCCTATATACCGTGCGATTTCCCTTTTTCTCGTTTTCGACGTCACTTTTCCGTTCCCTTTCCAGCTTTGCGCGCACCCCAAAGAATAGACACAGGAAAGACGACGATAGAAGCAGAGCACGAAGGCGCGTAAAAACGGAAACGCAAAGTATGCGATTTTTTTTTTTTTTTTTTTTTTTTTTTTTTTTTTTTTTTTTTAAGAGGAAAAATGAAACTGCCTTGTGCCAAGTTAGCCAAACAAGGATTATCTTTTTCTAGAAGCAGACCTCCTAAGAATAAAAATTGTGATAATTTGTTCTGTTCAGTGGCCCCGGAACATAATTACTTATATCAATTATATATTTTCGTATATCGCAAGATGATTTTTTTTTCAAATTTTCACACACATACATACATTGGACACGATTTAAATTAGACATTCAAAGCCATGAAAAAAATGTTTATTAATTTTTACACATTTCATACACACATTCTCCCCACCGTTTGCTATATCATATTACAATAGAGTACAATAGAGCACCTTCAATGGAACTGTTATTATTTTTGTTGCTTATCTTTATCAAAACACAGTGACGATAAAGAGACGCTGGGGGATTGGGGAATCGACGTAAACGTCGCACGTCACCATGGTAACCCTTCGCGCGTTACAGCAATTCGATGATTTATAATCTCAGCAGCGCGAGAGTGATTAAATGGATATTTTTCACAGTGGATAGAGCCGTTTAAGCATTGAATAACACGGACAAGGCCCGTTAAAGAATTTAATAAGCAAACACAAGTGGAGACATGTTTGTATTTTCAAGCAAAGTTATATCCGTTGGCTGTGCGGTGTAGGCTCGCGCGCGCGCGCGCGCTCGCCCTCACGAAGAATACAACAAGCGACTTTATCTCGTTGGCTTTTGCAGGAGTCGAGGCAATTCATTATCCCGCCTGGGTCAAGACGCTCGCAATATTCCGCTCACGTGCGAAAAGCACGATAACGCGCTCGTTACGCGGGCACGCGGCTACCCGACTTATCCTCCTGACGCGGATTCCTATAAGAATAATCTTTGTACGAATAAGTTGCGAGCGCACGCGGCTTTTAGTATTTATGAAAGGCTCCTTACGTGCTCATTGGGGTCTTTTCTGCGCAAACCATCGCGTCAGTTCATTTTTGTCCCGCTCTCGGCATACGGAATCCGGCGTCCGGCGACCGGCGTCCGGCGTTCAGAGTCCAGCGCGTCCAGCCCCCAAGCGCTTTTCTTAGGTCTTTTACGGTACGCCTCTATCAGTGGCCCGGCAATACACGGCGCAATTCGAGATAAGAATGCTCCTTGACGCTCAAAGAAGTTTGATTTTGAATTCCCAAGTGAAGTGAGCGAGCGAGGACAGAGTGTCGCCGAGCCGCTGATAATTGAGTCTCCATAACGCGCACTCCACTCGGATAAATCAATCTCGCAGATGCACGCAGCAACCACAAAGCCCGGGAGCGTGGCGAGGAGGCCGATGGCAAGAAAGAGAAAACGAGGTGGAAAGAGCTGAAAAGGTGGAGGGAGGACGCGCTTCTCCGAGGCGCGCTCGAGAATTCGAGGACGATTAATAACATCGGAAATCTGTCCCCGACAGGGAATCAACGCATCTCCTCCTATCGCGCTCTCGGTGCAGATGGCAACAATATGCCGTGAAATATTGCGCGAGCGACGCCGGTTGGGCCTTCCCGCGCCTGCGCGGCCATCCACTGGATCATCTCATCCGCCAGCCAGACACTGTCTAGGCTCTTGTGCTCGTGTGGAAGCGCGTCTGTGCGAGGACGATTCGCTCGCTCGTGTTATGACTTTTAGAATAGGTAACACAATGGCCCAGATTCACGCGGGATAAAATAGTTATTATGACCGAGCGAGCAAGAGAGAGAGAGAGAGAGAGAGAGAGAGAGAGAGAGAGAGAGAGAGAGAGAGATCATCTCGGGACTCGCTTGCTCTGATCCCCGATATATATATATATATATATATGTATAAGCGTTTGTGCGTGCGCGCCCATCCACGGCCTCTGGAGTACTATTTATACGCGTGTGCGCTTGTGTGCGTAGAAGTGTAGAAGCCGCCCTCCTCTTCTCTTTTCTTTAGGACCCTCTTATCTGCGCGTAGGGCTCTATAAGTTCCCGAGAGCCGGAGGAGACCCGAAAAAGGTATAATACGAGGATATATTGTTATAAAGCACGAGGAGAGAAGAAAAGTCACTGTCGCGGTGGGTCTTATGAGATTGCTGCGCGGGCTTATGATTTGTTGCGCGATTTATGATCGAGAGCGATAAGGCTAGCTTTGTCATCGTTAGTAGAAAGTAAGGCAAACTAATCAACGTAACTACAACAGTGCTCGTTACATTTCTTTCCTTCTCAATCCCCAACCATCCACCGCTCGCCATTCCCCACCCCACCCACCGATTTGTCCTGAAAAACAGGATCTCCAAACATCTCGCTAAATTATGCCCCATTGTTGACTAAATCAAGCATTAATAATCCCAAGATCATCTTCTCTTAGATATCTTCGTGCGATTAAGAGGCTTATCCGTTGGAAAATTACTTGGCATTTCATATAGGCTCGCTCTTGTGATGTTAATTAATGGAATTTCTAATAATAAATGTTTAAAGGAGAGGGGAAGGAAGGAGTGAAAGAAAAAAATAAGAAAAAAAAAAAAATTCTCTTCCTAATATCTCGCCAGCGCATCAATCAGGTTTGTTTCCGAGAATTAATCGAGAATTCGTCAAACCGAAGGTAAAAGCTTCGCGTCGTGAGTTATGAAAAATATGAGCGTTTGCTGTTTGCCTCATTGGAGCGCAATCTCGCCCATAAAATTTTCCACTTTTCGCTCCTCACAGCTCGTGTATTAAATTAAGTTTCTGTCAATTTAACATGGTGGTAGTACGCGCGCGCGCGCGCCCACCCCCTACTTAACCGACAAATGCCTGTCAAAATAGCACGTGAACCCCCTGCTATTCGCCTCCAACAGACAAGGCCTATTAACATTGCTAAATGTGCATATGTTTAATGGGAAAAATCGGTGTCGAATGAGGCGGTCGTTCGTTATGCGTTCATCAATGTCGATAAGTATTCGTGCATCGGCTACTCAATAGTTTTCAAATAATAAAATAATTCGTAATTCGTGGTGAATGTTTTCGTAAAAATAACTATTATGAATCATAATTTCGTTTGACCGTCTGTTTTTAGAAGATAATTATTCAACAAGATAATTCTGAGATTTGCCAGTAAGGCAGTCCAAGGCTAGTATTAATGCAAAGAAATTTAGCCATTCGAGGAAAGAGAAAAGCATGAGTCAAGCAAGCCGGCATTGGGGAATGAGGACTTTTCGGAAGAAGTAAGTTAGTCGTCATTGATTGTTAGAGAGGATTTCACGGACGAAGAGAAATGAGCGTCGGTGGTGCGAATGGTAGAGGAATTTCTAAATTTCTTGCCTCGCACTTTGAAGAATTCGGAAAATTTCGGCTGAAACACGAACAATAATCACGAGCGTATAAAAGCGCTCCAGAAACAGATATTCAATGTAATAATGCGAGAAAAGGCCGAGGATAGGCATCTGCGAGTTTAAAAACTTCCTGCCGTCGACAAAAACGCCCGGCCGCCACATTCACTTCTCGACTTTTGCGTAGAATTGTTTCAGACGACCGGGGCATTGATGCCGTTGTGTCTCGATGGCCAGCCTCTAATAATAAAGGTTCGTGAAAAACTCGAGTTTTGGAAAGCTCGTAGCATCATCGAGAGACGTCGTAGATAAAGGAGAGCGAGTGGAAGGGCCACGGGGGCAGGGTGGGCTCGAGTGGGAGAGCGAGAAGGAGAGCTCTACTAAGCAGAAGAAGCAAAGAAAGAGAAAAAAAGGGATGCAATAAACGGAGGGGTGGGTTTTTCAAAAGTCCCGTGGACCGATGGTATAATGGGCCACGTATTTATGTATGTATGCATGTACGCATGTATGTATTTATGTATGTATGTATGTATGTATGTATGTATGTATGTATGTATGCATGTATGCATGTATGTATATTCACGCGCATACACGTACAACGTGGCGAAACGAGATTCTAGTTGGAAAATAGTTGGCCACCGTCAGGCCTCTTCTTCCCGGTAGCAAGGGATGTGCAGCAGGAGCGGGAGCAGCATCAGTAACACACACCTTCGCAGACAGTAAGGAGAGTGACAGAGAGAGAGAGAGAGAGAGAGAGAGAGAGAGAGAGAAAGAGAGAGAGAGAGAGAGAGGGAGAGGGAGAGAGAGAGAGAGAGAGAGAGAGAGAGAGAGAGAGAGAGGAGACTCATTGAGCTGCATCTCGCTCGCGCGCTCGTTCGCTTTTTGGAAAAAGCCCTTGGCCCGAGTGATATATGGGCGTACGCCATTGTTCCGCGTTAGACGACGGAGCAGCCTTCGGGGATCTTGCTCTTCCCGAGGAT